CTATCTTTGCTTTGCTTTACTACTAATTTTTTTTTTTTTTTGCAGTACTAGAGCTTGAACTCAGGGCCTTCGCCTTGAGCCACTCTGTCAGCCCTTTTTATGATGGGTATTTTCAAGATAGGGTCTCGTGAACTATTTGCCTGAGCTGGCTTTGAACCGCAGTCCTCCTGATCTCTGCCTCCTGAGTAGCTAGGGTTATATGCATGAGCCACCGGTGTCTGGCTCTAATAAACTTTCTTGATCTCTACTTCCATGTGTCCTTAAATTCTTGTTGTGACTTTATAAACCTGGTACTTGAGGGCCAGTAGAGGCCTCTTCTCTTTTGTAGACCTCCTGCAGCCTCAGCAGTTCCCATAACACTCTTGCTTCAGCCTCCTGAATGATGGGATTACCAGTGTGGGCTACCCATTTTTTCTTATGTTCCCTGCATGTTTCAATTACAACTGCAAAGGTAAATTTGTTGTAATTTTATCTTTTAACAAAACACATGGACTATCTGTCCACTGTGTCCCATTAAATTCAGCTCTGGATGTATTGCTTTCTGGAAGTGCAACTCATTCCAGATTACATGCCTCGTTCCTTTCAACTCATTCCACTAGCTCTTAGAAGTAAGGCTTTGCCTTAGGCCTTTACACATGCTCACAGAGCTATTTTTTAAATTTCCTGGGGGAAAAAAGAGCAGGGGATATAGCTTGATGGTAGAGCACTTGCCTGGCTTGCACAAGGCCCTGGGTTTGATACTCAGTACTTTTAAAAAAGTTCAAAAATGAAAATGTACTTTAGGAAATTGACTAGTATGGTCTCAATGTTACAGCACTGTTAAATGCTGTTAAATGTTAATGATAATGATACATCTTTATTGTAAGCACTCCTTTTCATGTTTATTTTTCTTTGAAATAAGCAAAGATGTTGTGGGCTGGGGCAGTTTGACTCCCTAATTGACAACTCTTAGACCCTACCCCGGTGCCCCAGCTGCCTTAAGCAAAGGACTATCAGCCAAGCAGTCAGCCGCACTTTCCTCATGCCAGCATATCTCCTTTGAATACTCTACAGATGCCTGGAGGAAGCTGCACAGCAACTGTAGTTGCTTGCTGCCAAAGCACAACCCTGGCTCCTGAAGTCTCTGTCCCAGTTACAACTATTTCAAACTTCTGGCACTGGATTTTGTGCCACCACAAGCTTTGGTGTACTCTAGCCATTTCTACCCAATGGGAGTGGGGGGACCTCCCTGGTGGACCAGGCAGAAGGTCTGTGACTGGTGGAAACACAGTCCTTTGTTTGCATAAAGGTCTACTGCAATTGGTGCAAATACTTTTGCCACAGCCCTTTTCCAGCCAGCTGTTCAGCTCACTTTTTTCAGCCAGTGGGGAGAGACCCACCCCTTCCTCCACTGCTCCCTGGTGGTGTAACATTAGGCCCAATAAAAGGCTCCTCTCAAGTGGTCTTTTCTTCCATACTATCTTGTTATTTATTGTTTTGTTTTTTTTGAGACAGTCTTGCTAAATTGCCTAGGCTGGTTTGGAACTCACTATTGTAGCTCAGCTGGCCTCAAACTGATGTTCCTCCTGCCTCAGCCTCCTGAGTGCTGGATTTGTAGACATGTACCACAACACCTTGCTCTATCTTGCCTACTTTTTATTTTTATCATTAATACAACAGGCTGAGCTGTACTAATGATTGGACACAGGATGTGGCAGCAGAGTGGTGGCAGCAGTGGAGGTGGTAGCAGCAGTCACTGCCCCAATGACAGAAGTGACAAGAGGGCACCTGAAGAGTTCCAGAGAGTATCCAGAGTATAAACAGTGGAGAGCAGAGGCAACAGAGACAATAAGGGCTGTGAAGAGCTAAAAATGAGAAACTGTGGGCCCTGGTCACTGAAAGACTTCCAAGGAGCTGCTGAGCTTTAAAGACCAAGGGTCACAGACACCTTGGACCCATGGGAGTTAACACTAATTGCTGTCAAGGACTGGGGATCCTGACATCCTCAGCCTGAGAACAGTAACACTTGTCACTGTAAGGCTGAGGGTCCCAACACCTGAAGATTGTAGGACAGCTATAACACTAAAAGGTTCTGCTTGATGATGACTGCTGCTACCACTCACTGCTGCTGAAAGCCAAGGATTACAATAGCTGCCAAGTGCCAGGGCCACTGGTGGTTAAAGCCCAGAGCAATAACCCTCCAATCTGAGTGCTTAGAGCCATAAGTCCCTAGCATCTAAAGCCTGGAGCAATAGACCCCTGGCTATCAGAGTTTGGAGCTGCAAGCTTCTGGGTCTGCTAGTCCAGCCCCAAGGCCTTGTGCACTCGAGGACCTGGGATCGCCAGCTTCTCCTCACATGCCTGTTTTCTATCTGGGTAGAGCAAAAGGACCTCAGCCAGCTGATTGGTGAGAGACACACAGAAAAATCACTTGGCTACATTGCAGCATGCCTGTGTCTCTTGTCCCCACATAGACCAGGGCACAGCCAATGTGACCTGTTGGGGAGCACTGGCATCCAACTCCAAGCATGGGAACTGACTCCTGTCAAGGAAACTCAGGGAATGCAGGGACAACTTGAGTTCCTTGTCTTCTGCCTTAAAAAAATATCTTTCAGGATGGATTATTAGATCTACCTATTTATTAATCATAGCAAAATAATTCCTATTCCCTATAATGAATTTTTAAATTTCAATTATTGTATTTTTAATTTCCTGATTTTCTTACTATGCATGCTAGGCAAACACTCTACCACTTTACTACACCTTCAAGGGGTCCCTGTACCCCTTTTTAATTTGTTAGCTTTGTTTCAATTTTTTTTTAATTTTTCTTTTATTATTCATATGTGCATACAAGGCTTGGTTCATTTCTCCCCCTGCCCCACCCCCTCCCTTACCACCCACTCCGCCCCTCCCTCCCCCCAATACCCAGCAGAAACTATTTTGCCCTTATTTCTAATTTTGTTGTAGAGAGAGTATAAGCAATAATAGGAAGGAACAAGGGTTTTTGCTGGTTGAGATAAGGATAGCTATACAGGGCATTGACTCACATTGATTTCCTGTGCGTGGGTGTTACCTTCTAGGTTAATTCTTTTTGATCTAACCTTTTCTCTAGTTCCTGGTCCCCTTTTCCTATTGGCCTCAGTTGCTTTAAGGTATCTGCTTTAGTTTCTCTGCGTTAAGGGCAACAAATGCTAGCTAGTTTTTTAGGTGTCTTACCTATCCTCACCCCTCCCTTGTGTGCTCTCGCTTTTATCATGTGCTCATAGTCCAATCCCCTTGTTGTGTTTGCCCTTGATCTAATGTCCACATATGAGGGAGAACATACGATTTTTGGTCTTTTGAGCCAGGCTAACCTCACTCAGAATGATGTTCTCCAATTCCATCCATTTACCAGCGAATGATAACATTTCGTTCTTCTTCATGGCTGCATAAAATTCCATTGTGTATAGATACCACATTTTCTTAATCCATTCGTCAGTGGTGGGGCATCTTGGCTGTTTCCATAACTTGGCTATTGTGAATAGTGCCGCAATAAACATGGATGTGCAGGTGCCTCTGGAGTAACAGTCTTTTGGGTATATCCCCAAGAGTGGTATTGCTGGATAATTTTTTTGTTTTTTATGGCTGATTTTCAGTCCTTTATCATACTGAGAGTTCCACATGTGCTTATTTTAAACTCACATTGTTATACTGAGCTTGTTTTTTTCTTTTCTTTTCTTTTTTTTTTTGGTGGTGCTAAGGTTTGAACTCAGGGCTTCATGCTTGCTAGGCAGCATTCTACCACTTGAGCTATAGGGTCTGACTTTGCACTGTGATCCTCCTGATCTCTTACTTGTGAATCTCTAGGATTATAGGTGTGAGCCCATAACTCCCACAGTGTTTCTCATTTGATAGTAGCTTTTCAATTATAAATACTGGTTATGAGTGGGGCTTCTAGACTTTTGTCTGTTGATAATATGAGGCGCAAAGGGAATCTTGACACTGGTGCTGGTTCTGGCTCTAAGGCTATTTCTGCTTTATCCTGATTCCCAGGGTTAAAGCCACCCTTCTCCTCCAACAAACTCTTCTTCCTCTTTCTCTCCCTCCTCTTCCTCCTCCTCCTCTTCCTTGTTTCTTGATGTAACTTTCTTTAAAGTATGAGACATGTTCACCTTCTTGCTATTTTTAACCATAACTTAGTTCTTATTAGCATACATTTCAAGTTCCTTTACTGTCATTAGTGCTTTCTTGGGTTCTATTTTGTTAGTGATCCTCTTGATATTTAGCACCCAGAATTGAATTTTTTTTTGCTGAATGTTTAAATTCCTATGAACTACACATCTGCTCTTATCTTTTATGCTTCAGATTTCATTTACTTTCTACCACATTGTTCTCCTTGAAGCACCACATACACATAGTTCTTAAATTTTTTGTGAAGCTCTCCACTGGCTTTTTGGAAATAGTTCTTTGTGATTACTGACAGGAGCTCCTTGTGATAGATGCTTATTCTTAGAATAAGTTTCCCAGAAGTTTCTTCTCTTGTTTTAAAAGTTACTATTTACATTTTGCCTGTTATACTCTTGTTTTGGCATGAATGGGATGGAGGTTCTTTTTTTTTTTTTTCTTTTTTGCTTGGCTGGGGATCAAACAAACTCAGGGCCTTATGCATGCTAGGTAAGTGCTTTACCACAGAGCTACCTACATCCCCAGCACTGTAATGGTTTTTAACTAAAGAATATTTGAAATTTAATCTTTAAAAAGATATCTAGCATGAGACTGATAGCCTGCCACTAGAATAACTTCGTTTTCTCTACCTCCTTGTCAGGAGAGTGGAACTGAGATTTCTGCAGTAGGTATGAGATTAAATTTGATGACTTTGAAGCACTCTTTGACCAGATGCCCCAGCTTCTTTTCTTAAGAATTAGACTTAACTACCTAAGCCTTCCTCTAATATTGGCACATAGCAGGTGCTCAAGAAATGTTGATTAAGTAAGATAAATTTGCAAAAATTCTTCATACTATCCTATTTTTTTCTTTTGCAGTTAAAAGAGCCAAACTTCAGGGTTCACCAGGTAAGTTCAGCCTTCTATTATTGTGTACTTTCTCACTCTATACTTGCTGTGACTTAAAGCAATTTTTAATTTTTTTATTTTGATGGTACTGGGGTTTGAACTCAGGGCCTCGTGCTTGCTAGGCACTCCTAGCATGTCACTCCTCGAGCCTTAAAGCAATTTTTAAAAGCATATTTAATTTAAAGCTGCATGTCCCAGCTACAGGAAGTATCCTAGCACTCAGGAGGCTGAGGCAGGAGGATTGTGAGTTTGAGGCCATCCTGGGCTACATAGTAAGACCTTGTCTCAAAAATATCACTAAGCCGGGTGCTGGTGGCTCATATCTGTAATCCTAGCTACTTGGGAGGCAGAGATCAGGAGGATTTCGGTTCAAGGCCATCCTGGGCAAATAGTTTTTGAGACCCTATCTCAAAAATATCCAACACAAATCAGGGCTGGCAGAGTAGTGTAAGTGGTAAAGTGCCTGACTAGCAACATGAGCCCTAAGTTCAATTTCCCAGTTCTAACCGAAACCTTTAAACCCAGTTCCACTAAAAAAAACCCCATACTGGCCCAAAGACAAAAACAAAAACAAAAAAACCCCAAACATGGTCATTAATCTTCAATATGTTTTATCGTTTAGATGTACTAATTTATTCAGTTAAATAACTAGATTCATGAAATTATTAATTAAAATCAATGCTGTTAGATAACATTGAAACATTCAGTGTATCTGTATTTGTCATTAAAAAGTTTGTTTCCTTCCCCCTTGGCCAACCTGATCATACTTGTCAAAAGTATAATAATATATGTATTTTCAAGATCTTTTCTGTTTTTATGCATGCTTTTTTTGCAAAATGCTTTTTTATTTCTTCCAAGAACTCAACATGAAAGTCTTTTTTTTTTTTTTTTTGTCAGTACTGGGGTTTGAACTTAGGGCTTTGCTTTTGCTTGGCAGGACTTCACCAATTGAGCCACACTTCCAGCACTTAATATGCATTTCTTTAATTGTAAATGTCTTATTCAAGGACTTACTCTGGTTATTGTTGAGGAAATGAGGAAGGGGACTGGGGTTGGAAAAATGTGAACTTGCTTAGAAACTTAAGAAAACCTGAAAAGCTGGACCTTTGTTGCGGGAGGAACTAATGCAGTTTCTGAGCATACTATTTTCTCCATTGTCTCTGAGTGAGAACTTTTTTCTGAGGATCATCTTTCCCAGCTGGCTCTCTCTGCCTCCCCATCGTGCACAAGATCTGTGATAGCTGCTTTAACAGAGTTTGAGTGCCTTTCCTTCCAGTTTTAGCATTAATCACCAAGGGTCAATATTTCTTTTTTTACCCCTGTTTAAAATCTTTTGAGAGGGAATCAGAATGGTCTGAGCTTTTGGCCAACCTTGGACATGAGGGGTGGAGTAGAAGATTTTATAATATAGAACATAACTTAGGGACTAGGGATGTATGTAGCTCATGGGTAGAGTGCTAGCCTAGCAGGTTTGAGACCCTGGCTTTGATCCTCAGTACCACACACAAAAAACAAACCAAAAATCCCAAAGCATAGCCCAGTAGTCTATTGATATGTGGGCTTTTACCCCCATGTATCGTTAGTATGATTACAAACTTTTGATGTTGGTAAGTGTAAAGCTGGATAATTTTTAATGATACTTGGAAGATTTGCCTTCTCATTAAAAAATATCCTCATCAAGCAGTGGGCCAAACTTCTGAGCTTTGAGTTCTCAGACACCACCTTTGTTTAGTACTCATCCTCTCAGTTTAGAGAGTTTCTTTTCTCTACTCTGTGATAATGTTTCTTGTTATGTAATTTGTGCTTTAGGCCAAACTATGTTATCATGCTTGAAATCCACCTCCTTTATGAGGATTTTCCCTTAATTCTTATCCCTGTCAATAGCTCTGCATTTATTATCTTAATAAAATCAGTTTAGTAGATGCTAACTTTTTAATAGAGTAAATAAATTAGAATAGGAAATGTCTAATGTATCACATCTCATATTTCATGAAGCCTTTGTTTCAGCTTGTGTGTATGTATATGTCTCTACTGGGTGATGTGTTAAAAAATATATTTTAACATATGACCCAGTACATACATATTTTGAGGTGCTGGGAATAGAACCTGAGTCCTTGTGTATGCCAAGAAGGTGCACTACCACTGAACTATATCTCCAGTACCCTAGTATATTTCTTTTCTTTTTTGGGGAGGTGGGGCAGGAGAGACAGGGTCTTACTATTAGCCCAAACTGGCCTGAAACTCATAATCTTCTTGCCTTAGCCTATTGAGTGTTGGATTAATAGACATGTGCCATAACTCTTGGCTCCAAAATAAATTTCATAAAATTTGAAAAACATAGTATTAGATTGTACTCTTGAAGTGAGTATATGATTTTATAATTTTTGCAATTCTACCGTGCCTTGAATTGTACCTTATATACCTTAATTTTTTCTTGCATATTTAATACTATAATTTGGGAGATTGAATAATAGCCTGAGCAGTAAGTATTACATCCTCATTTTGTATTTTTTCAAAGATAAATTTAACACATATGTGACCCTGAAAGTACAGAATGTGAAGAGCACAACTGTAGCAGTTCGTGGTGATCAACCTACCTGGGAGCAAGATTTCATGTTGTAAGTATTTTGCAGCAGCAACAGGCCTGCATCTTCCATAATCTTTCTAAGATGATGGCACCAGATGAAACAATTAATGATTCTACATATGCCTAAAATTTATAAATTGTGCTGACATCATTAAATATTCTTTTTTTGGAAACAGAACAGTTATAGGAATAAGTGAGGTGTGTGGTAGGTGAAGTACACCTGTCATTTCTTTCATTCTTTAGTGATGAATGAATGATGAATGTAAATTCAATTAATTTATGTGGGTTGAAAATACTGACATAGTTTCTCAGTGATCAGAGGTAGGATGTAATACAATACTTAGCACAATATCAAACATAAGTTTGTCTTTGATTCCCAGAATCTGCTTTAGAGGGTGAGGATTCTGTGCTTTGTAAGCCTTTTGCTTTATTGAGTAAAATGTTCTATGTTCAGTTAATTAGTTAAATGTGTAAACATTAGTATAATATCTTATGTATGACACAAAATGAATGTTTTTATTTTAAAGCTGGCTTTAAACTTTTTCAAATTTTTTTATTTTTTTGAGATTGGATTTCACATTTAGCCTCCTTGAACTCACAATTCTTCTGCCTCTGGCTTCCTAGTGCTGGGATTGCAGGTGTGTACCACCATGCCAGTTAAGCCATTGCTTTTGAGACCTTGCTATTTCTCTTGTTTTTCCCCCTTTAAAATTTCAGATTTTTTTTTCTATTCTAGAAAAGGGGAGAAAAGTATAGAATATCATATTGAAGGAGTGTGCTAATCACTTAGCTTTTCTGAGTGCCAGTTTCCTTACTTATAAAGGCCTACCTTTCTTAGAAGGTTATGTTTTTTTTTTTGGGAGGGGGAGGGGAAGGACTGGGAAATGCACATGAAAGAGGTCAAAAGAGAATATATATTGAAATTGCTGTGAAATTTGAAACTGACTTGAAATTGCTTTCCATAATTTGCAGTGCAGTTCAGAGAGACATAGACATGAGTATTATCTTTATGAAGAAATATTCCAATTCTCTAGATTTTTACTGTATTGCCTCTTTTCTTTTTTCTGTGTAGCCCAGGTAGCTTTGAACTCATGATCTTCCTGCCTCAGCCTCCTAAGTGATGGAATTACAGGTGTGTGCCACCATGCCTGGCTATATATTGTTTCTTAAAGTACCATTTAGGAAGCTTTATTATAATACTTAAGGGGTGGTAATAGTTAATGGGTAAGGTTATGAGGGCACAGGCTAAGACAATATTAGAAGGGGTAGAGAGAAAAGGATGGATAGAAGATGTTAAGGAGGTAGAACCAAAAGATTTGATGGGATGACTGGGTGGGTGGTATGCCACTCACTAGGTTAGGGTTTAACTAATATAAGGTCAATTAAGGACAAGCTTCTATTTAAGGTTCTTTTTAAAAAACAAATTTTGAATTATTATTATTATCTTGCTTGGCAGGAATTCTATTACGTAAGTCGTACCCCCATTATTTGAGGTTCTTACGGTGCAGATGGGAGATAGGTAGAGAAGACAGGTAGAAACCTGAACCTGGCACTTAGAGAAGAAGTCTGTTTTAAGAAGTATTTTGGTGAGTTGGAGTTCTAAGTATAGATCAGAAAGTTAAGAGAGAGAATGTGTGTGGTGCAAAAAGGAACTGGAACAGAACTTGGAGACAGCAGCATTAAAGAGAAGACAATGGGGACTAAGAAGGAATGAGCAGAGGGATAGAAGGCAAGCCAGGAGATAGTGGTGTCATGGAAATGGAGGGAGAAAGGCCAGTGGTATCTCATTTCTCACTGATGGCTGTCTGCCAAGATTGTAAGTCTCATTTAGTCCCTCTCAGCTGCAGTGACATGAGATGAGACCACCTGTTCCCTTCTTTACATGCATAGTATGTAAAGCCAGTTATTAGCAATTCATCCAAGTTTCCTCCAGTGCTGGCCATGCCACAGTGTGACTATAGTCTATAAACCTAACAGTTACACTGTCTCTGAATTCCAGTGCTATAACAATCACCCCATTAGAACTGTTTCCAGCAAGTGAAGGCAATCACACAGTGATCTTCTCTATCCTCTCATCAGCATAGCTAGTTTTATTTTTGTGTTTATTTTCCAATTGCCCATAGCAGCTTTCCCTTTCAACACTGTGTTATTGTGACTTTTTTCCCTATCTCCCACATTGAGATATTGTGTGAATTTTGCCTTCTCCCCCTTTATACATGGGTTTTTTTTTTTTGTGGCTGTTTAAGTTTTTTTTTTTTTAATTTTATTATTCATATGTGCATACAAGGCTTGGGTCATTTCTCCCCCCTGCCCCCACCCCCTCCCTATACATGGGTTTTATTAGCTATTTTCTCTTACCTTTCTGCTTCTCCTATCCTTATTCTTTTTTTTAAAAGGGACCAATACTTAAAGCAGAAATTTATTAATGTCCACTTATACAGTGTTTTACAGACATACACAAAAATGTACAGAGTCCTCAACATTCAGGCATTCAACTCTAAGAACAGCTTCATGAGAAAATCCTTATTCTTTCTACTCTGTCATTTGTCACTAGCATGTTTATTGCTGATCTCCTGCCTCCTTTTCTACTTTTTTGTCCTCCCTGATATATTATGGCAGTATCTTAATATTCATTTTGGTACTTTTCACTTATATTTAATATGGATGTATCTTATTTTTAGTCCTAGATCCTTCATTTCTTAAGGAGGGCATCTTCATTTATTGACGTGAATGTGCCTAGACCAGAATCTTGTACACACATGTGCGTGTATACTCTTGATTGAGTTAATTGACAAAGCAAGGAAAATTCTCCAGGGCTCTGGGGAGGAAGCCTAAGCAAAACTCTCAGAATTCCCTTAGTCATATCAGCTGAGCCCATATAGAGGAAAGTCTTTTATAGAAGAGAGTTCTCTGAAGAATAGATTTTATTTTTTACTTGTCCAAGTCAAGCTGTTAAAGATCTCTGGATATTTCTTTATCTGTTGGCTTAAGATATATTTAAGGGTATTGCATGCATTTAAAAAAATGATTAATTAGGCTGAATGAAACTATGTGACAAAAAACTTAGTTTCCCTACTGTGAACCTGCTAAATTAGTGGCTGGATTAATCACCTACTTGGTGGGTTTGAACAGCTTTCTAGATATCTTGTTATCTTAGCTACTCAGGAGGCAAAGATCAGGAGTTTCAAAACCAGCTCAGGCAAACAGCCTGTGCTAGATTTATAGGTGTGCCCTACCCTGACTGGTTACTATGAGTCTTTTTTATTTTTTTTTTGCAGTGCTGGGGTTTGAGCTCAAGGCCTCACACTTGTTAGGCAGATGCTGTTTATCACTTGAGCCACTCCATCAGCTCTCTAGATAGCTTGGAAGTTTTTGGAGAAAGGAACCAGGTCCTAAGTTTTGTGTCATACAGGGTGGGGCATCTGCTTGGGAGGACTAAAGAATAACCATAATCTTAGGGTGGAACAAAAAAAAACAACTTATATTATTACTAAAAGCACTGTCCAGAAAGCTCTTATTGAAACACAGGGTTATTTGAGGGGAAAAGGCAAGTGAGCCAACTAAAGTGAGAAATGGCAATTCCAGCAGCAGAAGAAGAAAGGCATTCTCAGAAAAATAATAGCTATTTATCACAAGAAAATTTGAGTAGGTACTTTAGAGAAAATTTGACTTCCTGTTTTACTACAAGATAAATGGTATCTGATTCACATGTTTGGAATGTGGATTTATAGCCACAGAATTCATGTCAAGTGTGTTGCAAATGCATAAAGCAAAGAAAATCTAACCCTTTTGCATAAATACAATAGACCACAAAGCATACTAGCATACTCATTTATTCATCAAATTAGTATTTCCTAGCAGCTAGAGGCATGGCTCAAGTGGTAAAGTGCTTGCCAGAAAGCTCAAGACTCTGAGTTCAAACTCTAGTACTGCCAAAAAAAGATTACCTAGAATTTACATTTCCTGACCATTTATAAATACATGACTTGGGGACTGATGAAGTAGCTCAAGTGGTACAATGCTTGCCTAGCAAGCACAATGCTTGAGTTCAAACCCCAGGGCCTCCAAAATACAAAAACCAACAAATAATGTGGTTAGATTGGACATATCTATGTCCTTGATTACCATCACCCCTTCTCTTTTGTTGCCAAGAACACTTAACACAAAGTTTACCATCTTAACAATTTTTTTTTTTTTGGTAATCCTGCGGTTTGAACTGAGGGCTTTGTGCTTGCAAAGCAGGTGCTCTACTACTTGAGCCACATCTCCAGTCCATTTTGCTCTGGTTGTTTTTAGAGATGGGGTCTTGCAAGGTATTTGCTCAGGCTGATCTCAGCCTTCCAAGTAGCTAGGATTATAGGTGTGAGCCCTTGGCGCCAGGCCCTTAACAAAATTTTGAGTGCACAGTAACTTATTATTGACCATGGGTATTATGTTGTATAGCAGGTCTCTGGAACTTACTCATCTTGAATAACTACAGCAAAGGTATTTTTCTTTTTCTTTTCTTTTGTTTTTGAGATAGAGTCTCACTATGTAATCCTGCCTGGCCTGGAACTGGTAATCCTCCTGCTTCAGCCCAAATGCTGTGCTTACAGGTGTTCTCCCCTGGCTCTAAAGGCACTTTTTTTTTTTTAATAGATACCTTACATAGGTTTCTAGAAATCTAAAGAATGGATACAGCACTCAGGAACATTTTGATTTTCCCTAGATAGGATCCTAGTAAAAAAGCACGCAAGGTTAATAAAATGGGATGTAGTTTCTTTCATGCTACCTGGTTTTCCTTAAAGGACTTTCTTTTTTCCCATAGTGAGATCAGTCGTCTGGACCTAGGTCTAAGTGTGGAAGTATGGAACAAAGGACTGATCTGGGACACTATGGTGGGGACTGTGTGGATTGCATTGAAGACCATTCGTCAGTCAGATGAGGTCAGTCAGTGTGCTTGCTGTCTGTTTGGAGGTATGGTTGTAGCCCTTGCTTTTCTTCATCTTAGCACCATTCCAGCTAATACTGATCCATGCATCTCAGATTACTCTGCTTCTTTTCTAATTGGAGGGTATGTGACCTGCCCATTCCTAATCTCACTCAGAGGATCAGTGGGTTATATTTAAGTCCGCTCTTCCCTATATTTTATGGCTAATCTCAGAGGTGCCAAAGCACCACTTTCGCCTTATCTGATTGTGTGTGTGTGTGTGTGTGTGTGTGTGTGTGTCCTGTCCTCCTAAGATACTGCCCCTGGAGGAGTCTCATCAAACTTGGGCCCCTGGTTGGATCTGATTTTTTGCTTTGTTTCTTTGAATCACCAATCCCCAGGTATCTGGCTTCTGACCTCTTCTGTATATAACCCTAACAGAGTTTCAGAAACTTCTAGGCTTGGTGATAGATATTTCACTGTTTGTATCCATTTTCCCACACTGAACTCCTATCTCATTTTCCCAGATTAAAGTATAACTCAGAATTATTTTTTCCATAGACACTCACTTAGTACTTAGAAGCTACTATATCTCTGTTTGGCTTTAATGTGAAACTACTAGTGTTCTTTGAGGGTGAAGAAGTTGAAGGTGTTGTCTCTATTTTCTATATATGATTATTTTAATTCTTTCTAAGTCTCTACTCTTCTAAACACATGGACAGTTCATTTTCATTACAGCCCTTGTTTAGTTCTATTTAACCAGTAATGTCAGTTTACTGACTCTTTACTGATGAGAAGTAGTGGCACATATCACTCAGTGAGATAGTTATTAAGAATGATGCAAATTAAATATTGATCCACAGAGATGCTTAGTTTTAGAGTTTGGGACTCTAGAAATTTTGTTCTCTTGGGGTCTGCAGATAGCTGAGCACAGTGAAAGCTGCTCTGTCCACCAAAGCGGGAGAACAGAAGCCACATACAAGCAGAGGCAGGTGATGAAAGAGGTGTGTTTGCCTTCAGGATGTGAGTGACCCTTATAAACTCTCAAACACAGAAATCAGAGAAAAACACCTGGCTCTTGAATCACGAGAGGAGCCAAAAAAGATTGAAGTTTAATCTTAGATCTTTGTTTCCTAGGAAGGGCCTGGGGAGTGGTCTACATTGGAAGCAGAGACATTAATGAAAGATGATGAGATCTGTGGAACTAAAAACCCAACTCCTCATAAAATTTTGCTGGATACAAGATTTGAGTTGCCTTTTGGTGAGTCTATTTGATGAGTTTTTTTTTTTTTTTTTTTTTGGTGGAACTGGGGTTTGAACTCAGGGCTTTGTACTTGCGAAGTAGGCACTCTGTTACTTGAGTTTGTACTGTTATAAATGGTACTGCATAAAAACACCTCGTAGCTTTATATTTTTTCTCCTTAAAACTATTTTTTGTGGGGCAAGGCAGTAATAATGCATAGTCATGTATCACTTAATGACAGGTATACATTCAGAGATATGCATCATTAGGCAATTTTGCTGAGTGGCATTATAGAGTATGCATGCATAAACTAGACTGAGTAGGTCAGTTGGTCAAGGTGGTTCCTACATGTAATCAAGTTAAGCAGTAAATGGGGCTGGGTGTGTAGCTCAGTGGTAGGGCACTTGTCTGGCATGCACAGGCCCTGGGTTCAAAAAAAAAAAGAGAGAGGCAGTAAACACGAAATGTGTGAGGTTGCTTCTGGTATAGCGTGGCACACCATTTTACAGTAAGCCTTTTTCTTCATAAGTAGAAGGAGTACATGAGTTCAACTCCCAATACCGCCAAAAATAAATAAATAAGTGGAAGGAGTATATTCTTAAATAGCAATAAAGAGTATAGTATTGTAAATATATTAGCCAGTAACAGTTATTATCATTGTCAAGTATTATGTACTGCACATAATTGTATATGCTATACTTTTATATAACTGGCAGCACCTTAGATATGTTTATACCAGTATCCCTACAAACATGGGAGTAATGTCTTGTGCTATGTTGCACTAGATGAAAGGGATTTTTCAGCTCTGTGGTAATCTTATAGAACCACCACTATAAATATGCAATCTGTTACTGACTAAAATGTGGTTATGTGGCATATAACTATATAATAGCTTAAAAAGTTATCCAATAAAATTAAATCTTCTTCACAAAACAGTTCACTGCCTTATAAGACTGCCACCATTAATAATCCTTTCTTGTGTGTCTTTACCAAGTCAGGTTTTGAATCTATGCATATAGATAGATGAATGGATCTCCCAGTCTGTGTTTTTAAAATAGTTTTTTGTTGTTGTTATTGTTGGAACTCAGGGCCTCACACTTGCTAGGCAGGCTCTTTACCACTAGGCTTCCAGCCCTAGAGGGTTTCTTTTTTGGGGGGCTCAAGCCCTAGAGGGTTTGGCCTTGAATTTACTGTATAGGGCAAGCTGGCTTCAAATTTGTGATCTTCCTGCCTCAGCTTCCCAAGTGCTGGGAGGATTATAGTACTTATACACTGCCACTTTTGCCCTTATCTTCTTTTTAAAACACAAACAGTAACTTTTTAATGTTCCCTGGTCTTTGTTGTTTTCCATTTAATATATCTTGGTGAATCATTCAACATCAGAGCACATGAATTTATAGAAGCAGCTTTTATTTCCCTTCTCCTTCCCCCTGTTTTACTTCTTCCTTTTAAATTTACTGTTTATGTATTTTAATTTTATTATTTTAGAGTGCTTGGGATCAAATCCAGGGTCTCATACATACTAGGCAAGCACTCTACCACAGAGCTACACCCCAGCCTACTCCAGTTTTTTTTTTGACGGTACTGGGGTTTAAATTCTGGGTCTCATGCTAGCTAGGCATATGCTCTACCACTTGAGCTATTCCACCAGTCCTGTTTTTTGGTTTTTAAAAATTTTTTTTCTTTGTTATTACTCCAATTCCAATTCTTTTTATCAGGAGCATGTAATACACCATTTTATGGATGCACCATATGGATGAAGACGTGATATACAAATTAGGTATAGAGTAGTTGAAGATTTTCTTTTTCCTATTTATTTATTTTAGTGTTGCTTTGTAGCTCAAGCTGGCCTTGAATTTGTGATCCTCCTGCTTCCAGCTTCCCAAGTGCTGAGGTTATAGGCATTCACCACCATTGAAGGTTTTCTTTGAAATATTGCCATCAATTGCTGAAGAGCTTTTTGAAGGGTAGGAACTGAAGTTTTGGACAGGAGGGACCAGGAAGAAAGGGCAGTATTTGCTTCCTTCATATGAACTGCTAGAAATTATGTCTGTTCAAATGTCTCTAAAGTTGATTTTATTCATATATTGCCCTAGTGTTCTTTTTTGTACTGGATACAGCTGCGTATATTTGCTTTTTAAGAAGATGAGCATTTTGGGAAAGTTGTTATAGTCAATCTTAAGTGTTTAGAAGTGAAAATAAACCATTTATTTTAAAAATTAAAAAAAATTTTGTTGTGAAAAAATATGTGAACATCTAGTCATAAAACCTTTGAGGTCTTTTTTTTACAGTTTAATAAAAAGTTTTTAAATTGTGATGAAAAAACACACAAATTAAGATTTAGCATCTTAGGGCTGGAGGTGTGTCTCAAGCAGTAGAGTGCTTACCTAGCAAGTGTGAAACTCTGAGTTCAAATCCTAGCACCACCAAAAAATTTTTTTAGCATCTTAGTCCAGCATGGTAGTACATGCCTATAATCTTAGCACTTGGAAGGGTGAGACAGAAGGACTAAGAGTTTGAGATCAGCCTGGGCTACATAGCAAGAGACCCTATTGGAAAAGAAAAAGAAAAAATAACATTAGATTCTTAACCATTTTTAAGTGTAAGGTTTGGTATTATAGGTATATTCGCATTATCATGTAACAGATTTCCAGAACAGGTTTATTTTTATTTTTATTTTTTGGCAGCACTGTGGTTTGAACTCAGGGTCTCACACTTGCTAGGCAGGCACTCTTACCACTCAAGTCACTCCATCAGGTTTTTTTGTGATGGGCTTTTTGTGGTAGAGTCTTGCAAACTATTTACCCTGGTAAATAATTACCATGTGATCCATGTGATAAGGCAAGCCTCCTTATCTCTGTCTCCTGAGTAGCTAGGATTACAGGGGTGAGCAGCTATCACCCGGCTCCAAAACATTTTTTATCTTGCAAAACTAAATTTATATGAATTTGGCTACCTTAGGCAAGCGCTCTACCACTGAGCTATATGCTCATCTTTTTTGTGATTGACTTATATCACTTACCAAAATGTCTTCAAATTTCCTCCATGTGACTGAATTTCATTTCTTTTTAAGGCTGAATAATGTTCCATTGTATGTGCATATATATCATTTTGTTTATCTTTGCATCTGTTGGTGGATGCTTAGGTTACTTCAACTCTTGGCTATTATGAATATTGCTGCTAATAACATGATTTATAGATACTCCTATGAAGAGTCTACTTTCAGTTCTTTTAGATATGTATCCAGAAGTAGGATAGCTGGATCACATGGTAATTATGTTTTAAATTTTTTGAAATAGAGTCTTATGTAGCTGAGGCTGGCCTCAAACTCCCTATCCTCCAGATTTTGCTTCCCTTGTTCTATCTATCTGTGTGTGTGTGTGTGTGTGTGTGTGTGTGTGTGTGTGTGTGTATCTGGATACACATACATACATACATATATATATATTCACACAAATATAAACATATAATCCTGGAGTTTGAACTCAGGGATTCCTGCTTGCTAAGCAGGCACATTACTGCTTGAGCCACATCTCCTGCCCAGTATTTTTCATTTTTTGAGGGAAAAAAACCTATGAATTTGGACCATCTTTATATTTGAAGGTATAGCTTACTTTGTTTCTTCCTTCCCTCCCTTCCTCCCCCACCCCCCTTTCTTTCTTTCTCTTTCTTGGCTATACTGAGATTTGAATTCAAAGCTCAGTGTTTTACAATTTCTAGGCAAGCACTCTACACCTTAAGCCACTGTTCCAGTGAAGACTCAAGATAATATTTATGGCAAGAACTGAGTTATATTTCACTACTTTTCTAACTATATTTATTTGACTAAATAAAGTACTGATGACTGAACTGTTACTGGCTAATATCATTTCTTTGTTTTTATGATAGATATCCCGGAGGAAGAAGCCAGATATTGGACCTACAAATTAGAGCAAATCAATGCTTTGGGAGCTGACAATGAGGTAGGAGTTGCCTTATTTGCAGTATGGAAAAATGGGGGAAATTGTTGATACTCTTTATAAGTTGTTCAGAGAGAGGCCCAAAAACTGTGTCCTGAGAAATTAAATTTAAAGAAATATTTTGTGGTGTTGGGAATTAAGCTGAGGATCTCACACTTTTAGGCAAGCATTCTACTTGAGATGTATCAAGCTACATCTCAGCCCACAAGAATTAAGTAAAATTTTCTTGTGAGACAGTGTCTCACAGGTCAAGGTTGGCCTTGAACTCAATAATTCTCCTGTCTCACTCAGTCTTCTGAGTGCTGGGATTACAGACATGTACCACCATCCCTGGCAAGAATGAAATAATTTAAATTGTATTAATGAGACAAAGGGCAGTTAGAAGATTGTTTGAAATTTCAGTAGAAAGCTCCATCTCCTACTTTTCCTACTTCTCCTACTATCTCTGAGATAATGGTGCTAGTATGGTTCTAGACTGTTGAGGAGGAAGCTAGTACTAGAGAATTTGTCCTCTTTAGTTATACAAATGTTACACTAATGTGCAGACAGCATTTTTTTCTGTTGTTCCCTCCCAGTTTTATTTGTGTGCTTTCATTTTACTTTGTTTTATTTTACTACTTGAGTTTGAATTCAAGAAAGGTTCCTGAAATAAGATTTGAGGTGGAAATTCTTGGTAGTATCACATGTTCAAAGGAAATGAATTCTGAAATAGAGCCATTAGATTTGGTGATGAAGGACTGGTATCCATCTGTAGACTAGTACAGGGAGCCAAAATGCTGTGCTTTGAGTGTATTCATTTCCTAGGACTGACATAAAGTACCACAAACTGGGTGACTTACAGCAACTGTCACAGCTCTGGAGGTTAGAAGTCTGAGATCAAAGTGTCAATGCAGTTCTTCTGTGAAGGAGAAACCATCTCTTGCCTCTCTCCTAGTTCTAATGGTTACTGGCAGTCCTTGCTGTTCCTTGGCTTATGGATGCATCATTCTCATCTCAGCCTCTACTGTCATGCCTCTCTGTGTCCTTATGTGTGTTCAAAGTTCATTATCTTGTATCCAATTTTTTATTCTGCTTATAAGAGCACCAGTAATCATTATTTCCAAATAAGGTTACATTCATAGGAACTTAGGTTAGAACTCCAACATACATTTTGGGAAAATGAAAGATGAAACTTTAGCCACAACACAACTCCATTCCCCAACTTTTTCTCTTTATGGAAAGCTTCAGTCCTTGTTCTCACTAAGCCTGGCTGTGAAGTAGTTTACAGTCTTTTAAACTTTCATCATCTTTGTTTTCCTAGTGAAAAAGCATTCTGTACTTCTGACTTTATAGGCTTCACTTTATGTTGCTATGCAGAACCAGAAAAAGGGATTAAAATAATAAAAAAAAATTGCAGAATTTTACAAATTCTAATAACAATTGCTTGTGGTTTCCAACTCCCTATGCTTTTTTTTGTTATTGTTGTTGTTTTGCTTGCTAAGTTTTGATCTTCTCCTCTATCACCCTGTTTTTCTTTAACATCTTTTTTTTTTTTTTTGGTCAATTTGTTTTAAGCTCTTTTGTCACCAATAAAACATTAACAAAAACAGTCCGTCCTTGCTGGGGGGGCGCCGGTCAGTGGCCGCACTCTTCCACCACCATGTCCTCGTAGTGCCGTAGCACCACGTTGTCGCTGTTGTCGAAGAAGAGCACGGAGATGGGTGACAGGCGCGTGGGCACGCAGCAGGGCAGGCCGGCGCCGGGCGCGGTGGCGTGCATGAACGCGCTTCTTTAACATCTTTATTGAAATACAATGCATATATATCTTGAGTTCACCTGTTTGAAGTGTACAATTCAGTGGCTTTTAGAATATTCACAGAGGTGTGCACCCACCACCACATTCAATACTGAACATTTTCATTACTCTGTAAGGAAACCTTGTGTCCTTAACCTTCACTCTAATCCCCCGTCTTCCTCAGCCATAGACAACCACTAATCTACCTTCTGTTATTCTGTATTGACCTATTATGGGCATTTCACATAAATGGAATTATATAGTATGTGGTTCTTTGGAATTATCTTCCTTTAACTAGCATGTTTTCAGTGTTTCATCTACGTTGTGGGATATATCAGTACTTTATTCTTTTTTATAGTTGAATAACCTTCATTGTATGAATGTACTACATTCTATTTATTCATTCAGTAGTTGCTGGACAGTTAGGTTGTTTATATCTTTTAGCTGTTATGAATAGTGCTGCTAGAGAGGACATATGTACCCCATTCAGTGCAATTTCTTTGTGTGTGTGTGTGTGTGTGTGTGTGTGTGTGTGTGTGTGTGATACTGGGGTTTGAATTTAGGGTTCTATACTTGCTAGGCAGGTGATCTACCACTTGAGCTACACCTCTAGCCTGTTTTTGCTCTGGTTATTTTTGAGATATGGTCTTACTTTTTGCCTGGTCAGACCTTGACTGGGATCCTCCTATATCTTCCTGCAACAGGTGGGATGACAGACACATGCCACCATGGGGTCTTATGAACTTTTTGCCTGTGTTGTCCTCAAATTGTCATCTTCCTGATCTCCACCTCCTGAGTATCTTGGATTATAGGCATGAGAAACTGGTGCCCAGCGCAAAGTTTTGTGTGAATATATGTTTTCAATTTTCTTGAGTATGCACTTGAGGGGGATTGCTGGATCAAATGGTAACTCTATGGTGAACTATTTGAGAGTCTGCCAGACAGTCTTCCAAAGTGGCTATGACATTTCCCATCCCCACCAGGATTCTGTCAGGGTTCTAGATTCTTCACATCCTTGTCAGCACTTGTTATTATGTGTTTTTAAAATGATAACCATCCTAGTAGGTATATTTCATTGTGGTCATTATTCCATTTCTAAACTTTTATTATGGAAATTTTCATAATATGAAAAATATGATTCTTTTCTGTTTTCTTGCTGTAGTACTTCGAAACCAATCTCTGGCATTATTTTGTCTCACCTATAAATATATCAGTATATGCTTTAAAAAATAACCACTATACATTATCACATTAAATGTAGCAATAATTTCTTAATGTTACCTAATAACTAGTTTGAATTCAAATTTCTTCTGTTTTCTCCAAGTTGTTTTTCACAAGCTGTGTGCTGGTGGCTTATACCTGCAATCCTAGCTACTTGGGAGGCTGAGATCAGGAAGATCTCAGTTCAGGGTCAGCTCAGGCAAATAGTTCTTGAGACACGCCCCCCCCCATCTCTAAAATAACCAGAGCAAAATGGACTTGAGGTGTAGCTCAAGCAGTAGAGTGCCTGCTTTGTGAGCACAAAGCCCTAAGTTCAAACCCCACTCCCATCAAAAAAGAAAAGTCTTTCACAGTTGATTTGTTTAATTCAAGATCCAAACAAGTATACATTTAGTTATTATGTCTCTTAAATCATTTTTAGTGTGTAACTGGTCCCTTTCCCTCATTTTGTATAATTATGTATACTAGATTTGGGTGATTATGTTCCCAAGGTTTCATTTTCCATGTTCCTTTATCTCTCTTACTTCCTTTAAACTGATAATTATATCTAATAGGTTGAGTTTCAGGTTGAAATTTAGATTGAATTTAGGTCAATTTGGGGGCTAGGCAGTTGGTGTCATATACTACTGTCAGTGTTGTTAAAATTCAACAGAGAATCTAGTACAAGTGGCTCCTTGTAATCCTAGCTACTCAGAAATGGAGATTGGGAGGATCATGGTTTGAAACTAGCCTGGGCAAAAAATTTGTGACCCCCATCAACCAATGGCTGAGCTCATTGGCATGGGCCTCTCATCCCAGCAACTTATTAGGGCTTCCCATCAGCCTTTTACCTAATGCTTTTAGCAGCAAATAATGACCATTATATTTAGTAAGGTTTGAAAAATGATAATTTTTAAAATTTCTATGTTATTCCTTCAGTGTTTGTTCATTTATTTTTTTCTAGGGATTGAATTTAGGGTATTGTGCATGCTAGACAAGTGCTCTACTATTGAGCTCCATCCCTAGTTCTTATTTTTTTTGAGACAGGGTCTCACTATGTGAGGTTTGCCTTAATTTATGATCCTCCTGCCTCATTCTCTGAAATGCTGGAATTACAGGTGTGCACCATCACACTAGGCTTCTTTAGTATTTATTAGTGATAATTTGTCTACAAAAACAAAATTTTTCTTAGGAGCTATTTGCTTGCTTGAAATAAAAGAAAAACATTTTATCAGTTGTCCAAATTAAAAGCTGTTGCCTCAGCAACTTCTCAAAGTGGCCAGTGAGTTGTTTTCTTTTCTTTTCTTTTAATGGGGTATTATTATGAGTTTAGGAATTTGTGGCAACAAATTTGGTGTTTGGTGAGTGCCTGTTTCCTGGTTTGTAGATAATGTCTTCTTAGGTCTTCACATGGCAGAAGTGACAAGGCAATTCTCTAGGGCCTCCTTTATGAGAGTAACAATAAGGCCATTCACAGAAGACTTTGTCCTCATTACCTACTCACCTCTCAAAGGCCATACTTCCTAATAGCATCACATTGGTGAGAAGGTTTTCAGTGAATGAATTTTGAGGACACACCTTCAGACCATAGCAAAGGAAGAATCTATTTTCTCTATGCAGGTTTATTTTGTTAGAGTTTTTTTTTCTTAATTATTGTGAATAGTATTCTTAAAAATCATGTTTTCTAATGTGATTGTTATTATAAGTGAATGGTTTGCTGCTCATTTTTAAAAAATATTGATCATATTCAGCAACCTTTATTTGTTCTCATAGTTAATGAGTCCCTTAGATTTCTGTGTAGCTAGTTTAAATATTGATACTCTTTACTCTTTCCAATCCTTATAGTTTTTTGCGACTGAGTTTTATATATACATACATATATATGTATATGCTTATGTGTATGTATGTGTGTGTATATATATATATATATATATATATATATATATGTTGGTACTAGGGTTTGAACTCAGGGCCTCACACTTGCTAGGCAGGCACTCTACCACTTGAGTCACTCTGCCAGCCCTATACATATATTTTTATTAGCAGATTTTTATGTGTATATTTATTTATTTAGTTTGTAGTGCTGGTAATAGAACTCAGGGCTTTTGCATGCTAGGCAAGCACTCTGCCACTGAGCAGATTCTGGATTGTTTTAAAAAATTTTTTGGTGGTTCTGGCGTTTGAACTCAGGGCCTCACACTTTACTAGGTAAGTGCTCTACCACATGAGCCACACCTCTTGCCTTTTTTGTTCTGGTTATTTTGGAGGTAGGGTTTCTTTTTTTGCCTGAGCTGGCAATCCTTCTATTTTAGGATTCCTTGCTGTATTTGGGATAATAGCTATAAGCTACCATGCAGTTTTTTTCTGTTAAGATGGGGTCTCGCAAACTGTTTTGTTGAGCTGGCCTGGAACGGTGATCCTACTGATCTCATTTCCTGCATAGCTTGGGATAACAAGCATATGCCATTCTGCCTACCTAACTGGTGGAGATGGGATCTCTTGAGCTTATTTATTGACCTCAAATTGTGAACCTCCAAATCTTAACCTCCCAGATAGCTAGGATTATAGGCATGAGCCACTGGCACCCAGCTGGGCTTTATTTTTTAGAACAGTTGTGTGTGTGAACAGATCATGTTAGGTTATTGTGTGGTACATATGTTACAATGAATGAACCAACATTGATATGTTAACTAAAGAGTTAGTATTTTATTATTATACATTTTATTGTTTTATTCAGTAAAAATGAAGCCCGAATGTTTTCACTATAAAGATGGTGTTTCAGGAGATAAACAGATAAATAAAAGTTAAAAGTCTGTAGTTTATTCACATTTCCTTACTTTTTGTTTCATGTCATTTTTTTGTTCCAATATCTCATCTAGTGTACTATATTACATCTAGTTGCCATGTTTCCTTAAGCTCCTCTTGACTGTGACATTTTCTTACTTTTCCTTGTGACCTCTAAAAAAACAATTCAGTGCCTGAGACATCCGGCATAGTTGGTTCTATGCATTTGAAGGTCTACATCTCCAGATTCAGCCCACCTTGGATTGAAAATATTAAAAAAAAAAAAAAGTTTGTACTTGTGTTTGTCATGTGCAGATGTTTTTTGGTGTGGTGCTAAAAGTTGAACATTACTCTCTTCTAAGGCTGTGCTTTGCCACTGAGCTACACACTCTTAACCCTATATAGACTTTTGTCATCATTTCTCAAACAATGCAGTATAACAGTTATTTACATAGCATTTCCATTGTACTGGATATGCGTAGACTGGAGGTGTGGCTCAGGTGGTAGAGTGCTTGTCTAACAAGTTCAAGGCCATAAGTTCAACCCTGAGTACCACCAAATAAAAAAAAAGAAGAAAAACTAGATATTATAAGTAATCTAGAGATGTTTAAAGTATACAAGAGCATGTGAATAAGTTGTACTCAAATACTATGACATTTTATATAAGGGACTTGAACATACGTGGATTTTGGTTTTCACTGGGGAGGATATCCTGGAACCAATTCCCTAAGGGTACCAAAGGATAAGAATGTATAATTTTTTAATATAGTGAGTGGCAAGTGGACATTAAAAAGGATGCTTCATGTGTCTTAAAGTATGATATTTGCCATTTTTTAGTCATTTTTGTCATGAAATGGTATGGGTTTCATCATTTTTTTGATCTGTTAAATCACATAGGTTTTTTTTTTTTTTCTTTAGTCCGTTTAATGTGGTGAATTACATGAGTAGATCTTCAGATAATGAATTGTTCTGTATTTAAGGGACCTGGTCAAGATATATGTACATTTAATGTCAGTGTGCATATACATATATGCATATGTAAGCATAGGTATTCATATATAAATGTTAAATGCTTATACAATGTGATGGATTTAATTTGGTAATCTACTAATTAGTTTTACATCTGTATTCATAAATGACATTGGTCTATTCTTGCCTGTTTCTTGTAGATAGATTTTATAGGTTTTTTCCTTAATTATCTTAATATTATTGCTTATGTTCTAGATGGACTGCTACTTTCTATTTTGTACCTGGAACAGATACATTAAATGTGGCTTCTGAAAAATGTCTACTCTGACTCTTAAGTCTGAATTCTTCTAGTTTAATATTTAAAATTTTGAGATTTCCTCACTATTATGCTTATGTGCTGTCTATAAAAATCATCACTTAACAATGTTTATTACTTCTAATTCAGTTTGTCACTTTGGAGTGAGTATTTAACTTTCAAGAAGCTTTGAACATTTTTGTGATTGTCAGCTTTACCAGTGCTAGCATAATGTTTAAATCATGTTTGACTTTATTTTTGGGGGTACTAGGGTTTGAACTCAGGGCCTTATGCTTGCTAAGTAGGTGCTTTACCACTTGAGCCACACTGCCAGTCCTGTGCTTGACTTTTGATTACTTCTTATTGAATGTAGTAATAAAAGTATTATGATATTTATATTAAAGTTTATTGCTTGTAAAGTATGTTATATTCAAGAATAAATACAAAGAGTAGTTTGTATTTGAATCCAAATGCATGAAGTATCTTTCACTACTAAAATCCTTATATACATACCATCAACTTTTGGCTGGATTATTGCAATAATTAGTCTGTTTCCTCTCCTGTTCCTACAGTCCATCTCCTAACAGCTGGAGTGATCTTTTAAAACTGTATCGAGAGCTGGTAGCCAGTGACTCATGACTGTAATCCTAGCTTCTTTGGAGGCTGAGATTGGGAGGATTGAATTTCCAGGCCATCTTGGGCAGATAGTTTGTGAGACCTCACCTCCAAAGTAACCAGAGCAAAATGAACTAGAGTTGAGGCTCAAGAGGTAGAGTGCCTACTTTGCAAGTGAGAAGCCCTGAGTTCAAATCACTGTCCCACAAAAAAATGTGTAATCAAGGCCATGTGCAGAGGCTCATGCCTGTAATAATAGCTACTTGGGAGGCAGAGATTAGGAGGATCAAGGTTCAAGGTCAGCCCAGGCAGAGAGTTAGCAGGACTCCATCTCAACCAATGGGTGGGTTCAGTTGTCATCCCACTTGCATAGGGAAGTATAAATAGGATCACAGTTCAGGCCAGCCTTGGCATAAAGCAAGATCCTATCTCAAAAATAACCAAAGTAAAAAGGTCTGATGGTGTGGCTCAAGTGATAGAGTACCTGCCTACCAAGTGCAAGGCCTTTCGCTTAACCCCCAGTACCACCAAAAAAAAAAAAAGAAAGAAAGAGAAAAAGTATAATCAAGTCATATTCCTCTCATGTTTAGAACCCTAAATGACCTTTCAGTACACTAGAATAAAACTCAGACTCCTTACCAATAAGGCCTGCACATAGTGAGTGTTCAATCAATATTTGTTTATTGAGAATGACTTATTGGCAGTTGTAGAAACTCTGGCTTGCTGAGTATCTTATAGCTATCTATTTATTTGATTGCAGTACTGGGGATTGAATTTAAAGTCTTCCACTTGCTAGGCAGATGCTCTACCACTTGAGCCATGCTCCCAGCTCTTTTTGCTTTATTTATTTTTTTCAAATAGGGTCTCATAGTTATGACTGGGCTGACCTGGATTGAGACCTTCTTATTTAAGCTTCCCACATAGCTGGGATGACAGAGGTGAATCCCCATGACTTGTTTTTGATTGGTTCACATGGAAGTCTCATGAACTTTTTTTTTGGCCTGGGCTGTCCTTGAATTGTGATTCTCCCTTACAGCTATAACAGGTGTGCGCCACCATGCCTGGCTTCTTTTTTTTGTGGTACTGGGGTTTGAATTTGCTTCACAATTGCTGGGCATTTGGTCTACCACTTGAGTCACACCTCTAGCCCTTTTTTCTCTGGTTATTTTTTGAGATAGTGTCTTGCTTTTTGCACAGGCTGGCCTAAGCTGTGATTTTCTAATTTTAGGCTCCCCACCGTAGCTGGGATGACAGTCATATACCATCACATGCAGTTTTCATTGATGGGGGTCTTTACAGACACTTTTTTTCCAGGATTGGCCTGGGATCTCAGCCTCCCTAATTGCTAGAATGACAGATGTGTGCCACCATGCTTAGCTATTGGTTTTGTGAACTTTTTGTCAGGGCTGGCCTAGAACCATGATCCTCCCAATCTCAGCCTCCCAGGGAACTAGGATTACAGGCATAAGCTATTGGGGTACCTGGCTTCTTATAGTTTAGAAATAAGCAGCAGGATCAGGATGAGAACTTCAAATCTTGTATTTGTAAGTTGTTGGGTCAAGTTACATCTTTTTAATATTACACTGGGTTCTGAACAAACTGTCCTTCCAAATTCTATATACCTCTGTCAATTTGTTGATGCCTTTCTCTTTTGTTTTTTGCCACTCTCAGGACTCGCATTTAATTCTGTTCCCTTTTGTAGAACATTTTCTTACGGCTTCCTTACCCTATGTTTGTTTTTGTGGTGGTAGCAGTGGGTGGGGTTGAGAGGCCAGAGTAGGAAGGGAACTCTAACAGATACCAGATAAATCTAGTAGATACCAGATATACATGGTTGTATAAGCAATTTCACTTACTTCCCACATGAGTCTGTAAGAGAATAAGCACTATTACATTATATAAAGATGAGAAAACTCAGCCTCAGAGAGATTTTCAGTTTCATCACCTGAATGGGCAAATCTATACATTAGCCAGAGGAAAACTCAGAGAACTGTGAAATACTCTTAAGACCAAACCTTTGGCAGAGCTGAGTGGATGCTCAGGTAGCCCAGCCTCTGTACTGTCCTGCTTTAGCCTACCTCATTGGGTCAGCACAATAACTGATAATCTGTCCTGTATGCCAGGAACACACAGGGAAAATAACAATGGCATGTGTTTTTGTTCCAGAACCTAAACCTTTTTATAGTTAGCTGTGATTTTTTTCCTCTCGCTTTACTTGGGCCTCTTATTATATATGTTTTTATTTTTTTTCTCTCCTTTCTGCTTCTAGTATTCTATACAAGAAGAAAACCAGAGGAAGCCCTTGCCCACTGCTGCCGCCCAGTGTTGTAAGTGAGAAACTTGTCTCTGAACCTGTCTTAATTACAGCTTTCTGTCCCTTCTCCAGCTATGGTTTGTGTTGAGTTGGGGAGGGTGGAGACACAGTGCTTGTAAACAGAAGCTGTTCCAAAAGTTCTGCTGTCCAGGCACAGACCTTCAATAGCTAATTCACCCATTAGTTTCAGGAATAAGTCTTTTGGTTTTGAATGCTGTAGGCAGGGAAATGGTACTCTTTTGTTTTCCCTCCATTTGCTACCTTTTATCCCTGGTAAAATAGGTAAAATAGTAGGTAAAATCATACCTACTGTATCCGTGTTTACCTATTATTATTCCTGAGGGCTCAGTTTCAATATGTCCATTTCTGAGAAATCTTCCTGTTGTTTCCTCACTCCCACAGTGTAGCTTATTGTCTTTACTCTATGCCTCCATGTACACTGTATGTATACCTGTCATATAGCGTATCATCTGTTATGATCTATGTGTTTTTCACTGAGAACTCAGTGTAGAGTTCTTGCCTACCTTGTGCAAGGAAGGTCCTGGGCCTGATCCCCAGGACCTCAAAAAACAAAACAGAACAAAAGAAAAAACAAAAACAAAAACAAAAAAGCCGCAAAGGCAAAAAACCCACAAAGGTTTTTTTGAAAACATAGACATTCCTGTCTGGCTCAACACTTGATACATAGGAAACCTCAGTAAAGTTAGATCAATGATTAACTGAGTGAAAGAACATGTCATTTCTTCTGAGATTAATTTGTTCAGATCACACAGGTTCCTTCTAGAAATGAACTATGTGTTCTTGATATATTGCTATCTTTTCTTTAGTTTTTTACAAAACAACTTAAGGAGGCACTAAAGGGACCAACTCAGAGTCTGTTCTATCTCAATTTGTGATGCTGTGATGTGTATATAAGTGTGTTGTGTTTCTTTTGTGTTGCTGTAGTTTTTCTGAGTCAAACAGCAAATTCCGTCAACTGTAGACTGAAGTTGTTGGTGGTAGCAATTATCGTAGTAATGCTAGTAATACTAAGAACCACATCAGGGATGGGCATGGTGGCCTGTGTCTATAATCCCAGCATTCTGTAGGCTAAGGCAGGAGGATCTCAAGTTCCAGGCCATCCTAGACTACATAGCCAGACCCTGTTTCAAAAAGAAAGAAAAAACTCGGGAAAAAAAAACATAGCAGATAATGTATATTGACTCCTATAATATGCCAGATGCTGTTCCAAGACCTTAAATGTAGTATTCAAGCTCTTTTAAACTTATTTAACCTTTATGATTTTACTGTTGGTCTGATTTTTCTTTTTCTTTTTTTTTTCGTTTTTGGTGGTACTGGGGGTTTGAACTCAGGGCTTTGTACTTGCTAGGCAGGCATTCTATTGCTTGAGCCACACCTCCTTACTGTTCTCATTTTTCAGATGAGGAAACTGAGACATAAAGTAATTGAATAATTTTTTACAAATCACATAGCTAGTGAAGTAAATATTCAAATACAGTGACCTGACTCCATAGTTCATACCTTGAAGTACTGTGTTATAATGCTTCCTTAATATTGTTTGTGAGAAGGAAAATCTCCATTGGTTGCCATCCATTCTGTACATTATGTTAGGACACTTTTCTGATACAAGGTAAGACCAGTGACAGAGCACTAGTTACACTTTTTTGCCACAGGAGTGCCATTGCTTCTTGGCTCTTTGAATAGAAGTAGGAAATAAATACACAAATACAACTCATGTTCATACTGTTATCAACAGTAATGCGCTTACCACAGGATTTTTCTGATCTTCCATTCAGTGTACATATCTTCCTTCTCTTTCAGTGAGAATCCTTATTCCTAAGAACGTAAAATTCTTCACTCATTTGCTGTATCCTATAATTTGTACAAGCAGATTTCAAGATTAATATACCAATTTTATTGCCAAAAACAAGCTTACTAAGTAAAGTTTAAGGTCCTTGAAAGTTATTTTTTAACCTTAAGATATAAACCAAATAGGACTATAAAACCACTATCACACCTAAAAATTTAGCAGAATTTTATAATGTCATCTGTTTTCTATACTATATTCAATCCCCCAGTCTTCCTAGTTTTTTTGTCCCTTTTGTGGGATGTAATCAAGGTACATGTCTTATATTTTTATGTGGAATAAGATAAGCTTTCAATGCCCTCTAGATTAAACTTCTGCTATCTCATTTCAATTACCTATGATTTAAAATTGCAGAATGTATTGGTGTCCTTGTTAGTTAGGAATTCTCAGTGGCTATTTTGCATGGTATTGTCTTTTTTTTTTTTTTTCCAGATCTGCTAAACTGGTGTCTTCTGCATCACTTATTTCTAGAAAGTGAGTGAACTGGGGTCAAAACCTAGGTCTGTTTCACTCTACAGACATGAGCCACTGCACCACCTCTAATTTTGAATTCTTGCTAGTTACTTTGGTGTCATGAAGAGGTTGTTTTTTTTTTTCTCTCCAAACGTCTTTTTGTTTATGAGGGGCACTGGGGTTTGAACTCAGGGCCTCATGCTGGCTAAGCAGGTGCTCTTATGGCTTAATTCACCCTGCCAGCCCTCCAAACATGTTCTTTTCACTGTACCACCCAATGATGGCAAAAATCTCATGGGATATAATTTTCACAGAAACAGGTGTTTTGTTTATTTGGCTATTGCTCTTCTCCCCCCCCCCTTTTTTTTTTTTTTTGCAGTACTGGAGTTTGAACTCAGGGCTTCATCCTTGCTAGGCAGGCACTCTATCACTTGAGCCATGTCCCCAGCCCTTTTGGCTTTGATTGTTTTAGAAATAAGGTCTTGCTTTTTGCCCGGGGAAGGCCTGGACCTCTGTTTACACTTCCTGCTGTAGCTGGGATACATGCTTGTGCCACATGCCCAGTTACCTTTTTTCTTTATTTTAAAATTGATTCCTATTTGTCAAATAGTTAATATGTATCTTGGTACAAAAATTTAAAAATATTAAAGGTTGTGTAGTAAAAGTTTTCCCTCCCATTCTTGTTCCTCAGCGGTCTTCACCGCCCCCTCCCCCAAGAAATAGTCATCCCTAGGATCATTTGAGAGTTTTTACACTTGCCCAAATGTACATGTATGTGTCATTATTCCCTTCATCTTTTGAATTATTTTTAGAATACTGTGTATTACTATAAAATGTCCATAGCCAACTTATATTTAAGATTTGAATACTTTTTTGATAAGTGTCTTTCTTGGATTCTTAGTGTATTTTAAAGAATTTATTGAAGCCACAGGGAATATGTTGTTTATTTTCTGAGTTGTTTCCTACCATAGAGATCTGTTTCCGGAAATCCTGGCCTTAAGTACAATGGGAATGTTTTCTTTGTTCCCATTCCCCTCCTAAAATGACTTTCACACATCTGTTTCTGGGTTAAGAATTTCTGGCAGTTTATGTCTATGTAATGAGTTAGTTTTCTCACTCATTTTGAATTTTTTTTTCTTCAGTATGGGGTTTTGAATTCAGGGCCTCGTGCTGGCTAGACAAGCACTCTACCACTTGAGCCACGTCTCCAACCTTTTTTTTTTTTTTTGCTTCAGTTATTTTTTTTAGGTGGGGTCTCAAGTTTTTGCCCAGGGCCAGCCTCAGACTATGATTCTCCTACCTATAGCCTCCCACATATCTGGATTACAGACACAAGCCACCATACCCACCTTGTTGGTTGAGATGGGTTCTCACAAACATTTTGCCTGGGCTGGCCTTAAACCTCCATTTTCCTGATCTTTGCCTCCCAAGTAGCTGGGATTACAGATAGAAACCACTGTACCCAGTTCTCATTTTGAATTTTTTTTTTTGAAAGTACTGGGGTTTGAACTCACAGCCTCGATAGGCAGGCGGTCTACCACTTGAGCCACTCTGCCAGCCCTAATTTTGAATTCTTTTTTTTTTGACAGTACTGGAGTTTGAACTCAAGGTCTCATGTTTGACAGGCAGGCACTCCACCACCTGAGCCACTCTGCCAGTCCCCTAATTTTGAACTCTTTATGGTTATTTTGTCTGTTGTTGTGAAGAGGGTTTTTTTTTTTTCTTCAAAAATCCTAAATCAGTCCCTTTTTTTAACCTTAAACTTTTTTAAAAATAGAGCCACATACCATGCCTACTATAAAAACCCTCAAATGATTCTGAAATATATAATATGGAAAATGAAAATACTTTGTAATTTTCCCCTCACTAGTCCACTTTGAGATTGTTACTCTTAACAGTTTAGTTTCGTGTATATTCTCAAATATCTTAATCAATCTTCCTTCCTTTCTTCCTTCCTTCCTTCCTTCCTTCTTTTCCTGCTCCTTCCTTCACTATACCTTATCCCCTTAATTTTTCTTTTAAAAAAATCAGTTAAAATTTTATTTATGTAGTATTTGAACATGTGAAAGAATATATGTAAAATTCTTAAATTTTGGAGTATGATAATGAAACTAATAAGCACACTATCATTATCTTCTAGTACAGTAATATACTCTAAATTATTATTAAACTTAGCATTGCTTCCTGAGTGATAGATTTTCCACCCCCAGGAGACTGACAAACTGCAAGGACTTAGTCTTTGATTTCTTCTGTCTGATGTGTTAGGTACTGAGGAAGTGACTTTTGGTTGTTTGATCCTAAGTGACCTTATCCCATCAGGGTTTTCTGAAAAAACAATTTGGACTTTCTCTTTGAGGAGGGGAAAAAAGTGTAATTTGCTGTACTTGTTGAAAGGTGGTATCCTTTTTCTTTGTATTGGAATTTTTACTTTCTTCAGAGCTTGTAGATACCCAGAATGCTTCTGTATTAAGACTGCTAAACTCATAGTTAGGCAATTGTGATGCTATGCCAATAACTACAGCTTTGTCAGCTATATTGTAATTTATAAGCATTAGAGTGCTGAAGGGTTTCCTTAGTAGAAATAATGACTGTTTTTCAGATGCCAGACAGAAAGATAACTGTCATACTTCATTTCTCTTGTGAAGTTTTATAGACCAGCATTACAGAAAAGAAACCCAAAGCCCCTGAGTTCA